ACCCACGCCCACATCCACACTCACACCCACCCACACCCATACCGGCAGCCACAGCCAACCACACCCACACCGGATGTATCTTTCGGCGAATAGCATACTGACCCCCACACCAACACACATCCCCACCCATGTTGAATCAAGAGAGATCAGTTCGAGAGCCAGTTTTATGCGAAGGGATAGATCGTTCAAATAATCAATGTTAATCGGAAGGTGTCAAGGTTCATGTTTGGAATTGTTACGAAAGCAGCAAGAGCAAGTTTTGTTGCATACGCAATTGGAACAAGCGGCCAAGATCCAGGCAGCTGTACTCAGCAGAATTATGATTGACAAAAAGACGATGGTCAGCATTGATGGAGTTCCCTTATAGAGTGTAGAAATTAAAATAAGCGCGATTACTGGTAGCAGAGGCGCCAAGCTGCTGCATATCCAAAGTGCGGTTCTTTTCCATCGTTCTTTTTGCCTACTCTTAGAAATTTTGTAGACTAATGGCATGATGTTTGAGATGATGCCGAGTAACCCACCGCAAATGCCTATAGTGTTAATTACGTCACCAGCTGTCTGATATTTTATGACCCATCCGATGCACCATACAATGTTCTCGACAGATGAAAAGTTTGTTGTCTCCCCCCTAATGCATTCAACATATACATATGTGGCGTCTCCGGGATATCCATGAGCACAAGGACCATCAAACGGGCACTGGTTACCATTCGAAACAGCTTGAATTGTCAGCACATTGGTTTCGTAGATAATTGTCAGGAGAATTGTGAGTACTAGGGCGGTGGCACAACCCGAAAGGGCATTTAAACAGCGATTCGTTTTTATCGCTGTGCCTTCCTCGTTTTTGATGTAGAAATACTTTTCAAAGTAGTCCTCCTTGTTGTAGTGGCAAAAACCATCGAAGCACTTACAACAGAGAGTCTCAGGATTGCAATCATTTGAACAGTAATCCTCACAACAACATCTCGATTCTCTTGAGCCAGACATCATCTTATTCTCCGAGCGCTGAATGGCACAGGGTACTTCTGTTTGTGACTGTGCGTTAGTATTGCGACGACTGACGCCAATAACTTTCTCTTCAATGTAATAACGGGCATCATCGTTCATGCCTGCGAGGACAAGCATGACCACCAGAAGGATGCCTGGAGGAACCAGATAAATACAGAGGAAATACTGCTCGGTAGAACTAACCATTATAGCGTCAATATGAAGGGATTGAAGGCTTTGTTATGGTAGTCTGCTGAAACGAAATGATGGAGTAAGAAAACTAGAATGGAAAGACGCATGTTATTGATGGTGTGGATGTTCATTTCAGCATTATCCGCACTTCACACCAACACCCACCCACACCCACACCCACACTCACCCACAGCAACACCCACACTCACACTCGCACCCACATCCACACCCACGTTTTCACCCGCACCCATATCCTGATCTAACCTTATATGTGATATGGTTGATGCTTTAATAGCTCCTATTATACGTTTCATAATCTATGACTCTACTACACCCAGCTCGAGAAACCAGACCGTAAGATCTTGAAGACCAGACGAAATCATATGAAGATCGTACAAAAAATCGTCGTCTCACAAATCTTGCATCAGATCTTACTATAAAATCCGTGAAAAATCTTACAAGACAACAGGATCTTTCAAGAAGCTTATAATAAGACTTATCAAAAGAATTCAGAGACGACGATTTTCATCTGATCTTACACGATCAGAGGTACGATCTTGTAAGATCGTACTGTGTGATTGTTTGACCTGAGAAAGTTGTTCTGAGATATATAAAAAAAAGAGTCACCGGAATTCTTCCAATAATACTGAGAACATGATCCTTGTTGATCTTCTGGTAAGTTTCGATGAGAGATTCGGTATACATAAGATCTTGTAACAATTTGCTATATCTACTATCCGACTCTTCGACGAAATTTCACATAGGCTATTAACTTTTTTAAGTAGAGGGTGTGGGTGTGGGCGTGAGTGTGGGTGTGGACGTGGGTATCGGCGGAAGACCGGTAGGTTAACAGAAGACAGACTCCCACAGGTACACCTCCAGTCACACCCCACTCGGATCTGGTTTGTGAGCCTCTCTTTCCTGTAAAGATATATTTAACTGGATTTTTCTGCAAAAGCAAAGGTAAAACACAGCAAATGGAGAAATCTCAACAAAACTCTTAGTGTAGGGCATTTCTTCGAATTTGCAAGAGTGACGAAAATGAGTGAGCGACAGCATTCACTAGTCGTCCAATGGATCCAGTTCATAGAAGACCACTCAGAGAAAACGGTTACATGATTTTCTTCCTTTCATTTACGTTTTTCTTTCCTTAATGTACGTCTATGACGCCCTTTTCACCTGTTCATTGCCAGCAAAATAATCTCTGTGTTGTTCGTCCGTGTGTCATGTTCCTATTTTCCCAGCGTTCCTATATTCTTGTCTACTTGTCATCACTTCATCCTGTTATAAGTATCTATGGACGCAATAAGTCGGTGATACTAAAAAAAGAGAGACCTTGGTAAAGACTCGTCAAGAACCATCATACACTCCACCAGACGCTAAATGCGCGGTATTAGAAACCATCGAAAAGACCAGCCAGAACCTAAGAAAGATCTAACCGATGCTGTTCAGACACTGACACAGAATCTTACGCAAGTCAGTCAAACATCATCATCCACGTCCACAGAGACTAGTTCGAGACATTCATCGAGATTGACACAAACACGCCGGTGTGCATATGTGGATGTGACATATCTTTATCGTCACCCACATCTAAACCGACACATCAACTACACTGCATAGGATCATGCCTGCTAGTCTTCTCATATAATCAATTGGGAAGCAGAGTTTTTTCACGCATCTAGTAGATGTACTACTGAAATAAATTTTACTATGACGTCTTCAGAACAGCTATGAAAAAAAAACCTACCGTCTCACTCCGATGAAGAAAATGAAGAAACTTACTCCGAACGCAGTCTA